GTAATTAATGAATTAAATAAATAACGCATATCTCTCCATGATGAGAATGACATCGCTAAACCCATTCTACGTCCATAGTATTGACGTGCAATACAGTAAAATGAATTCCAACAGATGAAAATATAGAATAATAATTTTAAGTCTCGTTGAAGCAAAACATTTAGCAATAAATCGTATGGCTCTTGGTGATAATAAAAGTAGAAATAGAAAACACTTTTTAAAAATGTGAATGACACTGATAGTAAGACGTATGCAGCTAAATATGGTGTTACAAGAGGAATAGCTGCAACAATAATTATATCAGAAGTTAAAAGTTTTAAGAAGAAATAGAATCGACGTAATTTAGCTACGATATTCATTGTAATGTATAATTAAGGTTAAGGTGTATAGTCGTCTTTTATATAGAAAAGCGGGCGAAAGAGAGAATATACTTACATTCGCATAATTCAACAGTCATCACAAAATGAAAGAATAATATTGATATTCTGTCTTGACATCTTATATATTGAAAGAAGAAGAAAATAGGGAATGGATTCAACTATAGTCATTTTCCTTACTCAATTTAATGCGAAAATCTTCATTCAGAGATAAATAAAACAGAGAGAAGATTCTCTTCACACTCACTCTCATGTACAGTGCGGTTACTGTTTTCAGTATATTAACAAGATATAAAATGCACAATATGTAAGTGAAAAAGATTATAATATAAAACAGGCGTCTGAAGAGACCCTTAAGCAAGGTCGAAACGCGTCATGGTAGCTTAAACAATTTACTAATGCTGTTAAATACTCGTTTCATTACTATCTATTTATTCCATCTTGCCATTGTTTTTCAAAATTTTTCAATTTCAAAAAACATTAAAAATCTTTTTTTTTTCTATGAGAGAGAATGAGAACAATAAACTCTTTCGAAACTGCTACAACGTTCCGTTATATTCGTGATTCAGAATGAGTTCAAACGACTTGATCGCTGTAGGTAGGAGTATCATGAATAGAGGCGTTAGGCGATATGCCGCGCTGTCGCCGATGAAATACAAAAAGTCACTCCACTAAATTTTTGGAAGTTATCGATCCAGCCGCCGATCTGATAAAGTTTAACCTGAAAAGACTCATATTTTTTTAGATAATATTTTTTTAGATACAGTTTTACGCAGCCGCCGCCGAAGGCAGAAACTTTTTAATGAGTCATTCATTAATGGAACATATTGCAATGAAAGAATTTAAGAGGCGAAATACGAATTGGGTGAACAGATTTGGAATGAACTGAGTGATGTTAATATGGTTTGACTCGGTTTTCTGAAAAACTGGTTTTTCAGATACTCTAAAAAAATAACCAAAATCTTTCTTAATGAGGCATGATTGTAGCCCGTAAATTTCTGATTAAAATGAGATATCTCCCAGCTTTACATAACCTTTCTTTGCAAAGTTATATTATAGAATTCACAAGAAAAGCTCTAAATTAATTTCTTATTTCTATAGCTTTGAGCTGAGAATGAACATTTAGGGCTTTTCTTGTAAATTCTATAATATAACTTTGCAAAGAAAGGTCATGTAAACCCAAGGGGGAAAAAGCATACTTCTGTACTTCTCGGTACTTCTTGATAACTTCTTCGTACTTTTTTGTACTTCTCCGTACTTCTGAAGTACGAAGTACAAAATACGCTTTTCCCCTTTTCGTACTTCGTACTTCAGAAGTACGGAGAAGTACAAAAAAATACGAAGAAGTATCAAGAAGTACCGAGAAGCACAGAAGTATGCTTTTTCCCCCTTGGAGATATCTCCCCATTTTAATCAGTGGTATATGCAAACAAAGTGCCAGAAACGCACCTACGCGAGCGCTGTGGCATGGTGATATGTTGCCGTGAAAAATCTACTGAACAAGGAATTTGATCCTAATGCCCAACTTACGAAAATCTTTTATTTGATTAAGTCGATTCTTGTCGAAAACATTCAGGATAGAAAATTGTTTAGGGTAGCTCAGTTACCTCGACTCTACTTTGTTTCACAACTCCTATAGAAGTCAACCCTGGTTTAAGCACACTAATACGAGAAAACAGTTTTATAAACAGCATCGCTTAATCTCAAGGAACACGATGATACTATTGCACTAATTTTTGGTGCCTGTGTGTGTCAGTGTCTGGAGTAGTGAAGCCTAAACTTATTCTGTAAATCTTTCCTTTCAATTCTAGAAATACGTATCTAAAACTGCAGTCGACACATCATAATTGAAAAGCAAAATATCGATTAGACTCGCAGAAAGTGGCTCTAGTGCTGAGAATGGTGTATTATACTCGGATATGTGTCAGTTGAAGGGAAGTAAGAGTTGCGTCATTATATTGTAAAAATAGACTTTGTTGTAGCAACTAAAGTCTGATGTTTTTGAATCGATTCTCAGAAGAAAGTAAAGTTTTGCATAACCATAACGTATTAACTGTATAAATAGATAATAGTATTCGCATTCAAATGAGTTAAAACGAGACGCAACAATGACAGACAATAAAAGGTATATTCGTTTTCTTCTCTCGTTTTCTCTAATCTCAAACTACACGCAGTCGAGAAAAACAGATATCCTTTCAATCGTTCAAGTCGCACAACAAAAAACTATGCTGAGCGAAATCACTAGTTTTAAAATTTACAAAGATGTGGCAAAATGTCCAACCATGTACTAATCTATTATTTTCAGGCCATAGACCAGCTTTATTAGGTACTTCGTGGTGAAATTTGAAATGTTAATATTTCAAATGGTGATTGGCTGTGTACAAAGTTTTGAATTTGCCACCATTTATCTACAATACCTTATTACACAGCTACAGTTCCAAGAACGAGAAATACGTTGTAGAGCAGCTTAGAACTCAACAGGAAAGAAAAAGTGTTTGGTTGTTTTTTGAAGAATAATGTTTTGAATAAAATTAGCTTTCCAAAATATTTTTCATGTCTATTGTCTTACGGTGTAGGAAAACTTATTTGCATAGCCCTGCAACGTAACGCCCAAAAATGGAGAGTTGCTCTAAATGCTGAGATCAACGATCGTAAGAACTTGATCATGTGTCTCGGAAAAAGAGAGGTCCCTTGCTATGATGAACAATTCCAGTTGTCCTTGTATGTTTCTGGCGCGAACACAAAAATATTAAATAGTTGACAAATGGTTTGAGTAACACCGAAAGCAATAAAATTGTGCGAGTAACTGTCAATAAGGCAATCTATTGTATGAAGCGAAGTGAAAGTTTAGAACTTTAATTGTTTATTGAAACTTTAGAAGCGAAGTGAAAGTAAGAACATTTGGCATTTCAGTAAACTAAATGTTCCCTAGTGAAGCTTTTTTTCTCAAGCACATGAGTAAGCACATACCTCAAGATTTATCTCCATGCACATGAATTTCTTACTCATGCAAAACGCTTGAGGTATGTGCTTGACTTTCTTGTCTCATGCGCTTGAGTTGCATGAAGTATGCGCATGAGGGGAGAAATATCTAAAACAATGTGCATACCTCAAGAAACTCAAGCGCATGAGACAAGAAAGTCAAGCACATATCTCAAGAAACTCATGTGCATACCTCAAGAAAGTCATGCATTATCGATTTTCTGCGTTGTAAATAGCTCTAGCTTCGTGTTTTAGACTTGATTATCAGAGCCCTGCAGGTTGATCCTAACCTAATCTAATCCAACCTAACCTATAGGTTAGGTTAGGATTAAGTTGCAAAAGTTATAGGCTAGGTTAGGTTATAGGTTGTTCTATTTTTTTTTCAATGATTAGGTTAGGATTAGGTTGTCGAATCCATAGGATAGGTTAGGATTAGGTTGTGAAATTGTTTATAGGTTAGGTCATATTTATTCAAATATTGGCAACCTGCAGGGCTCTGTTGATTATATCATGTTCTACTCGGACTTTTCTTCGAGAACATGATGCAATTAGTTTTTTAGTCTTATCGACCATCTGATACTCTCACTATGCTTAGATTTCCATGACTGTCATAACCAAAAATGGCTTGTAGCTAACAGCAGAACATATTGAGTCTCATGCCAACATTTATTTTTCAAAAAAAGTTGAAAAACCTAATAAAAAGCGAAACTAGAGAAAAATGCAAATATTTGACTATTTTTGCCGAATCTAAACACATTCATATTTTTATCTTCTTTCTCCGTATCGTATGTAGTCATATCTGTACGATATCTAGACCAAGAATAAGAAAGAGAGAGAGAGAAAGAAAGAGAAATATAGAATGTGCCTAGGCGAAATTGCAATAGAAATGTCTCAGAGATCGATTCTACGTTTGACCAGATAAATTTGAGATTCGATCAGACAAACTTAAAAATTTTTAGTAAAAGATGTATTTGTCGGTATTTGTTACGAATATTCCATTTTAGAACAATCTTGATAAAAAATGGATTTCTCAACAAATGAAGAAGGAAAAAAGGAGCATGATTACTTTACGTTATCTCTTTTCTCATTGTGCACGATGTAGAGAGTAAAAACGCATGTCATATTCCTTCAAATGAGCGTTCACTTGACAAATTTCCTCAGAAAGATCAGTAATAGCCTAACATACCACTTGTAGAGTTAAGAATCACGATTCTCCTCACGCGTACAAGATAAGCAAAGAATCTTCTACGCAACTGTCGAACAGAATTTGAAAAATTGTCTTGAAAAAGGTAAATATTGCATTGGTGGCTTAAGTTAACAGCATGGATGCGTCTTCTTAACTCAGACGCAAGTATGAAAAAAGTGTAATGTAGTGTGATTGAATAGTAAAAAAATCGTAGATTTAATGTTTGACAACTAATAGCAGATGGATTATATGAACGAAACTGGTTATCTTGTTGCCGCTCTGGTTACAATCGGCTTAATCTATTATCGTTTGATCCTTCTTTCTGCCATTCAATGGTTAATATTTGAACGACAGCAACGAAAAGTGTCAACACAAACGAATTTAAACGGTAATGAAAAATTACAACGCATTGTACCGATACTAGACAAAGATCCGTCAACGTTAAAACCACCTGTCTATCGTCCATTTAAAAGTGGTCCATTCAACTTGACAATGGGTATCGTTTTATACAACATTTGGATCATAGGCGGCGGAACCACTAGGCTTTGGCGCAATTAGTCTGAGCCTCACTCCATTCCACTACTGGATATGAATATTTACACATTTTGTGTTTATATTGGCCCACAGGGGCTGTTTTCTAGCTGAAGAAATTCATTTTACTTAGTTGCGTATCAAAATGAGATTAGGTGTGGCTCAGTCTCATCTCCAGACCTTTGAGTATCACCACCTAGATTTTTATAAAAGCTTTTCTATTCAATATTAGGACAGTATTTTTTCCAAGAGAAAGAACCTTTATAAAAAAGTGGCTTACTAAGAAAGAACCTAAGAGCAGAATAGAACAGGCGATAACCGTTGTAGGAAATACAGTTGATAACTGAACTGAGTCCAGCCCATTTAGGTTTCTTGCTCCTAGCAGATGACAAAAACATTTCTGCATAAAATCTTTTGATACTTTTAGCTGCTGTGAGTTTTTCACTGCCTTCGATGGTGTATTTCTCATGCTTTTAAAGAAATGTGAGATTTAATCTCAAGAAAACAACTTAAAAAGCGCGGTCTGTTTACCGCCTTACATCGTGCAAGAAACGTTTCTAAACTTATCTTAGCCGTTCACTATGATTAGATAGACTCGATTCCTAAAAGCTTAGGGTAAATTTTACATTTGACCTTTTTCAATTTATAAAAATGTTAAGACTGAGCTTCTCATAATGCTTTTTCCTAGTTACGCCACTAATTTTACTAGAGAAAACGTGTTTAAATTCTCACCTTTTTTGAAGCAAAGAGCACAAAAGGCGCAGAGGAATGCCTTAAATTGAGGCTTACCCCATTTGAAATCGTTCCACCGCCTCTGATTTGAATTGATACAAATTACACTAAACAATATCTTTTTAAGGTTTACAATCATTAAACACTGACGAATGGATTGAAATTGATTGTCATTACAAAGAACAAATGAAATTAAAAGATGATTTTTTTACTAAACGTCCAGATGAGACTGTTCTTTGGAAACCGAGTACAGAAAATGGTAGTAGAGAAGCATTAGAGATGCTTGTCGATTATCTACCACAGCGATTTCCAAATATGTTTCGAAAAACGAACGTTGGTATTGATAATCTTATCACTGGTGAATCATTTGATTTAACAAAAAATCTGAAAATACATCCATTAGAAATTGGTTCTCGTCTTGTTCAAGAAGATCTGGTTCTCATGCAGTATGAGGCAAGCGATGAATTTTATCATTTGAATGTAAGATTTTTTTTTCCGTCTGTATCATAGTAAATGAAATTAACTACTATTTTTCTTTCAACAGGCTCAAGCTGTTTGTTTTCCTGCTGGATGGGTACCAAAAGAAAAGTTTCTCTTACCAATTTGGGCACTTCATATGCCAAATGTACCATTATTCGAAGAGAAATTGAAGTTTTCCGTTAATAGGTATGAATTTAAAATTTTTTGTTCCAATTTTCATCACGTGATTTCAAGTTCAGTAAATAATTCCTATTTCAGATTTTTTTCCAAACTTCAAGAAGATAAACCTGTCATTCGTCTAAACTGGTTTTGTAAGTTATTTTCTAACGTTTTTGTTTTAATTTATGATATGATTTTTGTATATTAATAGTACAAACGGATGATAAATTGTGGAAAGCAGAAAATTTACACCGTCAAACGTCCGGTCAAGATACGTCCATTACGGCAGAAAATGTTGGTGAAAAGATGTATTTACGTTGTGAACGTCAAACACTGAGGTATTTAAAGATATTTGTTAGATTGATTGTTAATCGATACGCCAAATTTATTGTTTTATAGACGCCTACCAAAGTCACAAGATATTCTGTTTACTATTAAGACATATCTAACACCGATGAGTGAAGTTGCGAGTGATTCAGCAGTTGCCAAACGATTTGCGACCTGTCTTAGAAATCTTCCACAATCAGTTGCAAATTATAAAGTAATCTAGTCTAACACTGAAATTTTGTGAATATTAGAATATTCTCATTTATTTTTATTATAGTCATTACCCGTGTTTGGAGAAGCTGTTCTAGGTTATCTAGACTCAATGTCTCAAAGTGAACAAATTAATGGTACATGCGAATAGCCACGAGTTCAAACACATATTTCTAAATGATCAATTTTCGAAAATCTGTACAAATGAGTTAAAAATAATGTTATTTCTTTAATACGAGTAAAATAATTGAGCCATGTTCCTAAATGTAAATTTTTGTGTTTTTTTTCAATTTTAATAAGCGTTTTTTTTTATAAAACAAACGTCATATTCGTCATATGCAAACAGCATCAGATGTCATATTTGACAAACGTTTTTCGAATATAACACTTTCAACGACAGAAAAATGACGAAGTATTATGCCGCTTTAGATAACTCATGTACTAAATTACAAGCCATTCGCGCCAGATTAGTAAGTATTACTCATCGATTTCCATTGTTCAGTCAAGAGTTTGAGAATATTAGACATTTGAGAGGTGTGTGCATTAAACAGTTGAAAAAAGAAATGACGCATAAATTATAAGTCATCGAATTTTATAGCTTAAAATGATCGAAAACTTCTGATCGACCGCTAAACTAAGGGTATCTGAGATGTATCAGAAATCTTGAATTTGGCATCTCTCAGCTCCAAAATATTCAATAGTCAGTATCAAAACCAGGTGTAATTTGCTATTTTAAGAAATTATGTATCTATAGAAATGAAGAAATACTTCAGAACTCTCGAATTTTTGAAGTACTGTACCTAGAAAATCCTGGATGTGACAAACTCTATATTTTTAACTTTTGGACAAACTTAACTTTTTATGTCACAGATATTATAAGTTTTTGCTGGGAATTTTATTTTGTTTTTCTTGTTTAGTCACTTTGTTTTGCAAAATGTGAACCGCGTGATCTGAAGTCGTACGCAACGTAGAAAACTTCTAGAAACGGAGAATATTCTCTTTTTAGTGCAGATTGATAGTTGCACGTTCTTTTATCACACAAAAGTTCAGATTAGGCACTATAGGCTCCATAAGGTGGAAGAAAAATGTGTTTTGGAGTATAAGAGTTGATTGTCCGATGTCATTTGTTCTTGAGAAATATAATTCTGTCTCTTTTCCTTGGGTTCTTCTCATAATAACTTATTAAGTATACGTTGTTCGATTTTATCATAATAACCTATTGAGTATGTGGTGTTAGTTTCAGGGTAACATATGTAAGAGGAACATGATTTATCGAAAAAGTTTCAGAATTTATTTCATAACTTATTGATGTATGAACTTTGGTTGAGTCGAAGTACTCTTTTGAATGTGTCTGAGGGTTCTGACTGGTGAAAATATACTGCTCAGTCGAAAATAGACAAACAACTACTAATTAACTGCAGTTAACCGGAAAGGAGCGGGCGGCACACTGGTCTAACATAGGGGAAACGAAAACCTGCGAAGAAAAAAATTCTTAGTTATACTCATTTATATTTTACAGTTTATAAAAAAGCTTTTTTATACATAAGAGTAATTTATTATACTCAACAGTATATTACTACTGTAGTTATACATTTTCATTAAAAAAAACAGCGAATGTAGGTAGGTAGTAGATTTACTATTGCTTCACATATTCCAACTGGTTTGCGTGATTTATTGTCCGTTGATTAATTTCAGACCGGTCTTAGCTCTCTATCTCGTACAATTAAGGAGCTATAAGCATTTTCCCGAGGGTTCCGATTTCAGTCAGTTGACCCTGAGTGATCCTAAAATGGATCAAGATAGGGGTAATCGGCCACACTGACGAGGAAAGGACACTAACTGGCAAATCGCTTTTGAGCCGTGAGCTAGTGGACAATAGGTAATCAAGTATGCTGAATCCGAATATGACATCTGTTTGGGACCTTAGACCTCCTGAGACCGGATTTCT